TCCTTGAGCTCCCGTCTGCCACAGGCTGTGAGAGCACAGCTTGGCTAACTTAGCATCTCATTAAGCTGGAGTAGCTGAGTAGCCTGCCTGCTACTCACCGTAAGCAAAGGCAACTTTTGGACTTACCTACATGTAATTCAGTTTGAGGAAAACTTCATATTATGTTTGTTGCTGCCCATGAGACCCATGCTAGTATTTTCCTACTGGAAACTTGTTTGGAGGCTGAAATGCCTTTACAGCTATTGCAATAAAACCTAAATGGGCCAGATCAGATTTAATCTGCAGCAGGTGTAAATAAACACAGATGTACTGATGCCTAGAGAAGGAGCTGCATTTGAGCCAGCTGGGGGTCAGCCCAGCAGTGGGCTGCTGGTGGAGAAGGGGCTGCTGCTTCTGCAGTGCAGTGAGGGGCTGTTTATTGGCACAGGCTGCTGGCAAAGAAAATGAGCTCAGCCACTTTCTTCCCCTACATGTGTGCTGTGGGAAGATCAATGAGGCTGGTGTGTAAGCTGGAGGCCTCTTGGACTGACTCCTGGGAGGGAGCAGGCAGCTTCAGCAAGACAAGTTGTTTGATGAGTAGAAAGATGCTTTTGAAGGAGCCTACAGGGCAGAGGGAGCAGGGTGGAGGGTGTTGTAGCAGCTAGTGGAGCTCCCCTTTGCATGAAGGGTCAGCACAAGGTATGTGACTGGTTATTTCACACTGGGAATAAGCAGTGCCTGACTGTCAGTGGTGTCCTGTCCCAAGCATTGTTTCACTGGTTTAAAAAACTTGCTGTGCTTTTCATACATGATGTCTGTAGGGGATGATGAGGTCACTGTGAGATCTGATTCTTTACCCGATAGATTTTGGACTTCCCCAAGAACATCTTTGTCATGTTTTGTCAGTCTGAAGCTGAAGCGGTAGCTGGTAGTTCCTCTTGTATCTACCTGCACGTGTAACCAGAACTAGGAGAGCAAGCTTATTTTAAGATACTTATAGCAGAAGTGAAGTTCTCTCTTTTTTTTTTTTTTTGTGTCTTTCTTTATCCACTCCACAGCGCCAAGCAGAGCAGCAATGATGGGAGACAGCACAGAGCAGAACAGTGAGTTGGGCCCTTCTTGCAGAAGGGCGGTTGCAGCTGGGGCCTGATACTTGCTCTATGTCTTGCATGTTTCTGGCTTCTCTCAGCAGATGTTTTTTGTGGCTAAATCCTGTCTTAAGGAGTTATCACCAGTGACTGTAAACTGATTAGGTCCAGCTTTATTTCTGTTAAGTATAGACACCTCTGGAAGGCAGTTAAGCTCACTTGGGCACTACAAAGGGCTCACTTGGGCACTACAAAGGGTGTCTTAGCTTGTCCTCCACTGGCCTGACTACATCGTGCTACCTGGGTGTGAGTAAAGGGAACACAAACCCTCCTGCACCCCTTGGGGCTGTGATGCCCTTTGAGGGAGCCTGTGCTTAGTGTGGGTGGACTGACCTTAATGGCTTCTGCATAAGGTTCCCCAGCAGCATCTGAGAGGAGAGACATCTCCTAGGGGGATGGCTGTTTTTTCACACTGAGTTTCTGCCCTCCAGGACCTCCTGGTGGAAAAGCTTAAGGTAGAACCTGCTCGCTGAGGCTGTGAGTGGTCGTCTTGTCTTTTGCTCCTCTTCTCCTGTTTGTTCTGTCTTGTTTACCTCAGGACAAAGCCTCTGCTTTGTCCTCCTGCGTTATCCCTTTAGAAGCATGTCTTTGTTTAAGTGTCAGTTGGTTGCTTAGCTTCACAGCAGTGTTAAACCAAACAGTGTTGCAAACAGTCTTAAAAAAAAGTAGTTTTTGGTATGGGAGGAACATTTCAGAGAGTTGTAACAACCTCTAAGGAGCAACTGCAAGTAATTAACTGTCCTAGAGATGAATTTCCAAGAACCTGATTGTGGAAGCAGTGGGCTGAATGAATCCAGCTCAGCAAAGACATAAGCTTGATCACCCATGGTTAATAGAGTGCTGAGAGCAATGCTTAAGTCCTCTCAGAAATCAGTGCTCAACATCCCTTTAAGAGGACAGAAAAGGGTCAGCTAAGGGAGTTTCAAGGTTTTTCTAGACACTGAAAGGCTTTCTTTAGAGAAGGAATTGATTTTGGTTTTAAAACTGGTGTTTCAAAGGAGCACAACGGCCAAGGATAGGAGATGGATGGTCGCTGTGCCGCGAATGGGAAGTGTCCCTGGAGCTTTGTGAGCTGCCCTGCAGTGCTGCAGAGATTTCCTGTGATGATGGCTTTTGTTCGGTGGCAGCCCCCTGTGTCCCTCTGCACCCCTTCCCATCCCACCCTGAAGTCAGCCTCTACTGAGGGAACCTCTAAGGCGGTAAACTCAAGAGCTCATAAAGCAGATGAAGATGGCACATATTTAGGTTATGCATTTGTTTACAGCTAAGGGAAGCAAATGAAAGCCACACAGGCATTTCCTGGCATTAGATTTGCAAAATTTCACATTTCCATATAGAGTTTGTACATGAGTAAAACTTCTTTGGAGACTTTTGTTCGCTTTTCAGAAGCAAAGCGTACAGTCCTAAGAAGCCATATTAACTATCAAGTGGGACACTAGCAGGAGATGTAACTTTCTGCAGCAGGTTTTTTTAAAATTCCAAATAGGTGCAGGAGCTACTCCATGTGAATCTGCCGCTCTCATGGCGTGAACGAAACCCTTGGCCAGCATGTTTTGCAGCTCTTGCCGTTGTCACTTGGCAATTTTGGGCACTGTCCCACATCCTGCAGAGGATATGGCCACAGCTGTAGGCAGACCCATCTGGCTTTGCCTCTTAGCCTGCGCTGCTCCCCAGGTCTCTGCTCTTGGTTGTGATGCCTGGCAGATGGGTGGGGAGGTCTGCAGCCAGAGATTAAAGCTGAGGAGGAGGGTTAACAAACCTGCAGTGGGTTCCTACCAGAGAGGCAGAAAGGCCTGTCTGACTCCCTGCCATGGGCTGTGTCCTCGCACCACCCCTTGGAGCCCATGCCATTCATAAGAATTGAAGAAGCCAGAGAAGTCTGTCACTTAAATGTTTTTTTTTTCTGCTGAATTCTCTTGGAGAAGATCAGTCTTAGTAGCTTATAGGTTTTCAGTTGCTGCAAAGTTATGTTGCAACGGGGAACGCCAGGTACCGATACGGAGACATTGCTGCAAACTGCCCTTGTTGCAATCCCGGCATGTGCTGGCTGGACCAGCTACTGCTTTGATTACAGGTAGTGTTGAGAGGCTGCAGCTCTGGGATCATGTATCTGTTATGTCTGTTATGTACACCTGTAGCCTCTCATATGATAGTATATAATATCAAGACACATGCACATTCAAACAGGCCCCTGTCTCATCAGGTTATAATGTAAGAGGAGACTCCTGGGATTTTAAACAGTTTGAGCTTTATTTAAGCTGCTTTTATCTCCATTTACCTGGAAGTAAAAGGCTCCAGTGTAAAATCACGACAACTAAGAGGACTTATTCCAGAGTAGCCATGGGTTAAATGTACCTATAGGATAAACATGGCTTGGCCCCTCTGCTTTGATGCCTCATCCCTCTGGTCATCTTGTAACCCAGCATGCTCAGATGTTTCCAAACTGAGTGATGTCCAGAGATGTCTCTTTATCAGCTGTATGGGAGTGTAGGCCTTCTTTAAAAAGAAATAAAAATGGAATGTGCACAGACCTGCCTTGCAACATTGCACAAGTCTTGTGTGAAGAGATAATACAAGGAACACCTGTGCTGAGCTCTCGGAGCACTTTCCCACCAATTTTTAGGCAGTGGCCTTCAAGGGAGCTCTTCCTTCTCCAGCCTTTTCCTTCAGACCTCCTTCTCCCCTTTGCACACTGGCAGACAACAGGGGCTTCCTTATGGCTAGGTGGCTACTATTTTACTTACCTCTTCTCTCACTGTCAAGGATATAGCTGCAACATGGAGGGCCCTAAGGTGAAGGGTGGGGAAATACCTGAGCAAGAACATGGGAGATACAGAGGTGTGGGGCCAAGAGAGGGGCTGGGAAAGGAGGAAGGATGGAGACCGGAGCACAGCTGGGTGCTTCTCTTCATGATTATTGCCCCATGCTTCTGGTGATGAATCTTGCCCAAGCATGGAAACACTTCTTTTCTGAAAGGTGCAAAGGAAAAACCAAAATCAAGGAGACCTCAGCTTAAAAATACTGCCCATTTTTGTTCAGAAATTTCTCATAGGTTGAGTCTGCATTTTTTTTTGGGGGGGTGGGGGGAGCAGGTGGGAGTGGATCTCAATTTCTAGGTTCGGGGATTAGTGATGTGGGTAGACCCAGTTAGTGAACACAGTCTATGATAGAAGGGAAAGCAAAGGACTGGGATTAAATAAATGCAGCCTATAGGACAGACACCAGGATAAAATTCAAGCAGGGGAAATGGGCAAGAAAACCAGAAGAGAGAGCCTGGCCAGTCTCTTGTTTGGGATATGGTGTGAGACAGAAATTGGGCCCTAATATAGATAAATTAGTATGGTTCAAGTACAGTTTTCAAGGGGCTGCTCAGATAGGACCTGAATGTTTTGTGCCCACCTTTGCTATCGGACAACCTATGTGAGGGGGCCTGATGTTTTGTCGTGCCACCTCTTTCTCCTCTGAACCCCTGATGTGTTGCACTGGCCAGCAGGGAGGGCCCAGCTCCGGGGCTGGTGCTCCTGGTTACCTGTGAGCCCCTGCCAAAAGGCATCTCCTCTACAGGATCCCCTTGTGCCCTGCTCATACACTGCGGAATGACAGAAGTAACATGACTTGGAGCCGCTCCTGGATCACCAGCCGCGTTTCTTCCACAACTGAGTTTCCTTAGGATTTTTTTCCTTCAAAACAAGGTTTATCCAACTTAATCCTGCTCACCAGTGTGAGCCCTTGCCCTATTCTTTATCGGTGTCCTTTCCTGCTGTGTATGAAGCTGATGTGGCTATAATTTCAACCATGGTTTTCTGCCTTATTGTCTGAGTTAAAATAGTGCTGTACTTTCCTCCTGCCTGTCTGGACAGCCTGTGTGTCCACTAGCCACTTTGGAAAAAGGATCTCAAAGAGTCTTGGAGGCGATATGACTTGAGAAGATATGAAATATTTCAGCAGCACCATGAGAGATGAACTTAGACAACTTTAAAGAAAAGTGTATGGCTGTCCCTTGAAATGTAATCCTGATGACATCTTTTTGTTATTGAATCAATATAAATGAATGGTTTTTAAATTCAACATTCAAATTTCCCACTGAATTTAATCTAATATGGCCTATTTTCAGTTGTGAAAAGTCCACAATTACATTAGATATAATTGTTCAGTGAACCTAAAATAGATTTTTCCCTTTGTATAGTAAAGATACACAATCTCAGCTTAAACTACATATTGAAAAGAGCTCCTTAATTTGATACTAATACCATACTATTAAAATGATTAAGTCACTTTAAAATGAAAACTTCTTGTGAGAAGGGATAAGGAGCCCTGAAATGAGCAGCAGGGGGAGAGGGAAATGCATCAATCATTTAGAGCAGAGCATTTAGAGTTGCCATTTCCCATATGGATGGTGCTGGGAAAGGAAGCACCGTCAAGCGGCTCCAGTGACACCTCAGACTGTATCTTAGCAAAGGGCAGTATGTTGAATCCCTCCTTGTAAGCAGTCAGGGCTCCTGACTGATAGAGAACAGAGGGGTCCTGACCTGCCGTACAGCTTTCACAGATCCACGTGGCAGACCTTTGGTGACTCCAACAACTGTTCTCTCACACAGTTCTGAGAAACCTTCAATCTTTCTTTCACAACTTAGATTTCCAGCTAGCTGTGCAGCCAACTTTGTCGCGTGAAAAGCAACACTGGCATCTGAAAGTAACACTTCTGTAGTCTAGTTTCTGTTCTTCTCTTTTGTTTATTTGCAAATGTTGTATAAAATGTCCTTTAAAATTGGCTGGGTGAAATGGGGCAGCTATTCTAATGTTGACAAAGTTTCTGTGTATGAATGACATAAAAGTAGTGAGACACGGATATGTAACAAAGCAACTGAACCAGACTACCAGAAAAGGCTGTCAGTGCACTGACATTATTAAACTCTGTAGTAACTTGAGCTTATGTGCACTGCTGTCCAAAACCTTTATTACAGAACTTCAGTACCATGACTTAGTAACCAGGCTCATCACAGTTTAAAAAAAAAATCAGAAAGGTTACAAAAGCTGCACTTCCAAATTTAAAACACTTTTACAAAGGAGGAAGGACAAATCTGATGCTGAAAATGGAAGCTGACAGTTGAATCTACTGCTACAGTATTTTTTGTTTATGCTGACCAATTTAAGACTCAAACCTTGTATTAGTTGCACCTATTCTTAGAATAATGAAAAAAATATAAGAAGTTAAATGGCACCAACTGCTTTGGGGAAAATGAGATGCAGGTCTTCAACCAAAGCAAGAAGGCCTGTAGCGTTTTGGGCGGGAGGGCAGGAATACAGTCAACAGGCAGGTGGAGAAAAGGCTGTGACCATGGTAATCTGTGGCAAAGCAAGGTGACTAGCAAAGCTTCCTGGTTTCAGAGAGACAGTACAGTAAATACCCTCAGACTGTAACACAGCTATTACTGGAGGAGGAGGACAAAGCGCTTTGTTAACAGAGAAGCAACCGGAGGAAGGCTGGGAATGCTCTCTGATAAGAAAGTTCAAGATTGTAGCCCTTTCATAAAGGACTGAACTTTCCCATACCCCTAGATAGCAAAGTGAGCCCAGTTCTTCTACTCTGTAGCTCAGACAATCTCTGTCTCATTTACTCCAAAGACAGTTTTTTAACTGGAGTCTTTGACGTGCGTGGATTTCTTGCTGCTTGTGGCAAAATCTCTCCAAAATCTGGAGTGAGCATGTGACTGTAAGCCATTCCCATCAGGCTGCTGCAACGTCTGCTGAGCTCAGAGGTAAAGCAAAGTTGGGCAGGCGGTTGCAAGTGATCCAGCTACGAGCACCGCAAGGGGAAGGAGAGGAAAAGGGCTTTTTTGTTAAACATACAGAGGCTGGCAAGCTTTCAGGTCAAAAACACTATGAACAATATACACTTAAGGCTGTGAGGAGTCCTTGGTCCATGTCTTAAAAATGACTGAATTTAGTAAATTTGTACAGATTGAGTACATTTTCTTTTTTGAAGCAGTCAGCCAGCCTCTACAGCACGCTTGCAATACTATCTAAAAGGCAGCTAGTTTCTTGGTATTATTCAAAAACCTCAGACCACTTAGCTAACTGAGAGCTCTTCCCCATGCATTTCTTCCTATGGATCACGAAATGTGTTATCCAGGCTCCAAAGCTGGAATGGCTGCTACCAGCATTGGGTGTAAAATCAGACTGTGGCGGATGGGGGGGGTTATTCCATCCTTTGGATTAAGGAGAAGGATAAGATGGGAGAAAGAGATAGTGGGGTTCAGGCATGTGTAAGAGTGGCATGGAGGGAACCTTGTTCCTCTCCAGCCTCTGCCAGAGCGACACCGGTACCGTGGCTTCTTCCCAGGAGTTGAGCACAGTCCTGGTAAAATGTTATCTACCAAAACAAACAAAACCCTTTCTCACAGTACTTCCAGGTGCAAAACTCACTTGGCCTCAGTTCTTCCGTAATACTCTGGATTCAGAAAATGTAGTTCTCTGCAAGTCCTCCTGCATCATGCAAGCTGTTTACCATTTGACTGGCTGTGCCATACAATAATTTGCTTTCTCTGCTTAGTTCCAGATCTAGTACCAACATTTAAAATGGAGGTAAACTTGCTTCAAAAGTGACACAGCAGTTCCATTGCTTTGAACATGACAGTAGGGCACTTGTGAGTCTTTTGTCTCTCCTCACCAACATCTCAGTCCTGACATGAGCTCTGCAAGCTCAAGCTTGCTGTAGCCAGAGCCTTTGACTGCTCAAAAAGTGATCTGATTCTCTCTTTGCTCTGGTGACCTAGTGAAGAAGTGGGGGAATGCTTGCTGCACTGAATTATGTCCCTGCATATCTGAATTTATTTAAAATGTTAGTCACAGTTCTGCCCAGTCTTTCTTCCAAAACACTGACATGTTAAACTTCCTAGACATGCTATACTTGTCCTCAAAGGTGGGAAACCCTTTCCAGAATTCACCCTCCTGAAACATGTACTATACAGAAAAAGATGTGGAACAACTTTTGGGAGATAACCTGTTCACAGTCATTAAACCAGCAATACTTTTTTTTTTTATTCTAAGTCTCCTAGTTTAAAAAAAAAAAAACAACTCTCTACAGTGTGACAGAGCTTTGCTCCTATTGCACAAGGACATGTTTCTATGTACTGTGACCTTTTTTTTTTGACTTTTTTGTTGCTATGATGAGCAATGGGAAAGACTTAAGCAGACAGTGATGGAGCATAATCTGTAGCAGTTCTGTTGCTGTGAGTTGTGAAAGCTATGACCAAAGACAAGGCATATATGAGTGAGCTCCTTTCCCCCCACCCCCTTCAAAACTGGATGGTAAAAGACAGTGTATTAAAAAGGAAAGTGTCAAACTCTTTGTGTAGCATAAAAAACATAGAGAAGATGATTGGACACATCACCGCAAAGGAATTCCTAAGCCAAATTAGAAAAACACAAAGCCTCTTTAAAAAAATAATCAGTATATAATGACAATGCAAAAGGAGCTTGAAGGAACTTTTTTTAAAAGCAAGATTTTGGAGTTCATAATTTCATGATTTGCATTTTCAAAAACTTAATTCACAGAACTATGTATTCTGGCCACCTCTCCCTTGTGTAGAAAAGTCCATTTCTGTAAGTTGTGAGAAGTCCAGTTTTATGGTCTCAGTTGCACAGCACGAACAAACGGTTAGCTAATGCTGTTAATTTATGAGATCCTGGAGCTCCTCATCAGTTAGCTCATTGACTTCCATGATCTTTTCCAAGTGCTCCATGTACCGTGCGTGATCTTGCAAAAAGTGCGGTACCCTCATGTTCTCAATCACAGCTAATTCCTTCAGGCGGTCCACGTCCTCATACGAGATCTGCAAGGAAGGAGATGGGTTAATACTGAGCTATACTTCTGTTACATCTGTAACTTCTCTGCTGTGGCTCTGCACTCCCTTTTGCAGACGGTAAAAGATTTTGGAGCAGGGGGATTTAAAAGCTTGTCAGAGTCCTTTGAAAGCAATCCTCGAGCATAAGTTATTGTGTGCCTCAATGGAAGAAAAATGTAACCCTAGCAAATGCCTACATAGTTCCCGCTTCTACTTTTGATTAAATTGGTGAACAGACTCTAGGGACCTGAATGCGAACGAGATTGACCTACGACAGCTACAGCAACAGGGAGGAAAAGGATGGAGCACATGTCATTCTTGGAGTTCTCAAGGAGGTGGGAAGACTGACATGGGACTGGAAAAGACTCTGGGCCAAGGATCAGGGAACTATAAATGGAGCGCAAGACAGATATGGAACAGGAAACAGGCAGGCTTGGGCTTTGGGAAGGTCCAGAAAGTCCAGCAGTGCCAGCTACCTGAACTCCTATGGTTTCATTTTCACCAGCAATAACTTCTTGGTGCTTATGCAAAGCTAAATTAAAATGTGCCTCTTTAGTAACAAACTAACTACAGCATGGGCAACCGTAAGAACCCCAAAATGGGCGGGTGGAGATTAGGTTTGCCTCTTGGCATCAGAGGCTTCTGGGAATAGCTATGATGTCTTCAATCTTCTTTCAGCTACTACAGGGCCTACTATCTTTTTTCTAATTAAAGCTGAGATTTTTCTCACAGTTAGCTCAAGGTGTTGTAAACGATACTCCAGAAAGGATGATTTCTTTGGCTGTGCAAGGCTACATAAGCTGTCCTGCAAGCACAGAACAAGTCTCCTTGGGCAGCTATTCACTGTGATGAAATTTATGTGGTCACCACTTTGTCTACAAACTGCATGTGCTGGGCACCCTACAGGCAGAAGCATATGTACAGGCAAAAACACAGGCCTAGCTGTGCTTACTAGCTGGCACATCCTATTTCCGCAGGGCATGGTGGTGCCAGGTGGCTTGAGAGTGGAGCCTGCTCCTTTGAATCTCTTTACCCTCTGTTTCTTCTAAGGAGCTGAGCACAGTGCTGTCAGGAGTCCCTGGAAACAGCCTGCCCTCTTAGCAGGTGATGGTTCCTACTCAGAAAAGACGAAAGCAAGCACTGTTGACCCACTTATGCATGATGCACATTAAGGGCTCTTCGGAAAAAGAGTCTAGTCCAGATTACTAGACCTGATCTGCAGGAGCAGTCAAACGTGGGGTGCTTATCTAACTGATAATGGGAACAAACTCCAGGAAGAGAATGAATTTGCATCTGAGCACATGAATGTTTTCTGGGCTGCAATGACAAGATGCATTCTGATTTAAAAATGAACATGCACCCATGCCCAGGCAGTAAGCCAATATGAAGCCAAGTCAATACGAAGTATTGCTGTTTGAACAGAATGTGACATTACACCCTGATTAATGTATTTAGAAGCAGACAGACAGGACCTATATGCAATCAGACCATTTCCTCTCAGTCTGGAGACACAGCACCAAATGAGATTAAATATTGACCTTCTCTCCTGTCCTGTCCTTAAATCTACCTGTGTTCCTCAAAAAAGGAGAAAGAAAAGGATCCTTTCCCATCTCGTATTTACATTCAGGAGTTTCTGTTACTGCTGCAACCAAGAATTAAGCACTTGTGATCAAAGGTACAGTCTGAATGGGATCCACTCCACTGGTCATGGCAATTGCTAAAAATGACTAAAGTTGACATTTTGAGGAGAACATAACAACATAATCTCATCCTACTATGGTTAACAGGTTGTCTTCCTTACAACATATAATTAAAATTATTGTAATAGGTAACAGACTAGGCTAAAACTGGCTCATTTAGGCTTTTCTAATGTGTTCATGTTCTTAGAAAAACAAAACAGCCGGTGAATTTTTACTGCCTTTGCTTTTTAAAACACTTGTAGTTATGCAATACTGAGACGCATCCAGTTTCTGCGTTCTATTTCTCTTCTTTAATATTACTTGCATGTGAGTATTACATGAAGGTTTTGCAAGGCTTCTCGTACTTGATTCTTTAACTACTGCAAAACTTTAAAACTGCTTCTTCTCAAAAGCACCTTTTCTCAGGCTTCAGCCTCTCTCATTTGTCACCCTCCAGGTATGCAGAACAGCTTGCAAGAGTGCATAAGCCATGTTCTAGTTCCACATATTGCTCTCTTCAACATTGTAAGTAACGCCAGAAGCAGCAGGAAGGCATGACTGCTTGGGTCAGCCAAATCTCTAGCACTAGAATGAGAACAGAGGACACACAAACTTCAGGATGGCTCTCTCTTAAATGCGTTCATATGAGAAACCAGCGCTCTGATTTTATAGCTGTGTTAACTACCTATTAAAGTGCAAAAAGTTATTTCTCATCAGCAGTATAGCTGATGATTGCTTTTGTTTCCTATTACATTCATTCCCAGGTTCTATTTAGAGTAAAATAGGCCTAAGGTAAACATGCTGAGAAAGATGAACTCACTTGTTACAACCCAACAACACTAAGAATCTTTGAAAAGCAATGAACATTTTCCCACTAATTCCTGGGCTTCCTCATGTTTGGATTCAGTACTCTTTCTTGTAAGCTGGAAGACATGCCAGCCTAGCTTCCCTTTGGAACACCCCAATCCTTCTTTTCTGCCTTAAACAAAGAAACAAAAACACCTTTAAAATCGTGAGGAACTCGTAATAACCACAGGCTAAATCTCAGTGAAAGCTTAATATTCCTCTATGAACACAGAACCTGTTTTTCTTGGGAGAAGGCACTCTTCTTACACACACATCTTCAGTTGCATTGTAGATGCGTGCAGTAAAAACATTCAAAGCAGAGTTCCCTGGATTTAGAAGCAGTAAAGTCAAGCACTTAAAAATAAATTATCATACTGTTACAATGAAATTGCTCGAAAACCCTTAATTTGGACACATTGCATTTGGATTATGATTAATCTGTAATTTTACAAGATACAACTTAAATGATGTTTTTGAATAGGGTTGACAATATTGCAGTCCCTCCGAAGGGAGAAACGGATAAAGCGGTGCAGGAATGGACTGTGTGCTCAGCACAGTCTAGCAGGTTGAAGCTGTGTGGAGTTAAGCATGCCTAAAGCAGAAGGCATTTTCAGAGAATAAAGATCCAGATTTATCTGAAACAGTATAATTTTTTTTTTCCTTCAGAGCTTTCCAACTCGGTTCAGTTACTTAAACAGCTCTGCTGACCCATACGGATGTTTCTGACACTAAGAGGTAAAACTTCTTAAGCAGGGACCAAAAGCCTATATCATAATATGCTACTTCTCTTCATCACGCAATGTCAATAGCAAGCAGGAAGCAGTGCTGATATACCAGCTCTCAAAATACGAACTTGACTCTCATTTTATGTGAGTTTGAAATGTGCTTTATGAAATGTGGAACCCTAGCAATTTAAGGATTCAGTTCAGGAAGTCTCTGGCAACCCTGCACTACTTAGTATGGATTTGAGAAGAAAACTTGTCCCACCTTCGCATTTAAAATTGAGGATGGTAGTCAGGCAGAGAATACCAAGAAGTGATAGGCCGAATGGACGGAAAACATATTCTGTGAGTTTAGAAATACCATGTGTTTTGGAAAAAGAGACCCTGATTTTCATCAGAGATGACATCAGAGAGAGGAAACAGGGATGGAAAACCCAGTATCAGCTCTCCATTTCTGGAGGAAGGAGATGTCTTAAGATCAAACTGTGAATTTGACTTTCTACTAAAACCATCACCTTGTCTAGCACCTGTCCTGCTTGCCTGAGGAAGTCCATTGTACTGCAATGCAGGTAGTACCCTGATAAACCTTCCTGAAGAGTAATTAGATGCTATCAAAAGCAGAAAAGGAAAGCCTGAGAAATACGACTGTAAAATCATAATATGATAAGTGAGGAATGAGGAAAAAACGGCAGGAATTTTTAGGACCTCAAAATATTTGTAACTCGTGCTGCGTGTACACCATGTGTGTACAGAACACAGAGATTTCTAGATCGAAGTAAAGCAAAGGGCAATGACTCACGTAACTCTTTACAGGCAACCCTACTAAAATGATGCAGCTGCATCTTTCAGGTAAGACTGAGTCCACTCACCTTTCCAAGGGCTGTCAGAAGATGGAAATCAATGGACTCCCTGTATCTCAGGATTCGGAGGATGCCATCCAAGTATACCTGATCCTTATTGAAACAGCCTAAAAGGAATAAGATTTATTCCACCGCATCAGTTTGTTCAACTTTCCCAAAACTAACTAGAAGGCTCAAGTCACTAGCCAGGAAAGAAAATAAATACAAAAGACGGTATTTGTGAATATCTGCAGCAATACTTCTTGTAAATAACATGAAAGGAGGTCAGACTGTGAGTCTGAACTTCATACTTTTACAATTGCACTTTTAACAAAAAAAAAAAAAATCCTTTATTTACTCAATTTGACAGTCTTAAGGACGTGTATTTTCAGCCTTGTTTTCAACAGCATAAATCCTGTTGCCTCACTTTAGAAAGTGAAGGGTCCCATTTCTCCCTTTCAAGAAACTTTTGCTGTGTGACAGATGCTGTGCATACTCTGGCCACATCTGTGAGGAATGATGATAGATAAAACAGAGACCCACCTGGCTGTGATGTGTCAGTCCACCCCCTCTTGGCTCGTACGCAGTAATCCCACCTAGTGTTGGGGTCCTTGACAAATTTCCCCACGTCCTGGAAAAGCTGACTGAAGGACATTTGGCTAGCCTGATACACTGTGTAGTAGAGCAGGGCAGCCCTCCAAAGAAAAGGGTCCTTGCGGAACAGCACGCTGTGAATGCTTGCTAGCCCCTCTTCTGTAGGGTTGATTGGTTTTAACCCATGTTTTCTACGTCCGTTCCAGTTGCACCAAGGCTGGCTGTTGTTGTTAATACCCCGAAAATAATGAGTTCCTGAAAAGAAAGGAATATAGGACTTAGAACAGTAACATCCACTGATTCCAAAAGTGATAAAATACTGGAGGAGATGCCAATTTCAGGACTCAACTGGCAGCACTAGGCACTGGGAAAAGTGCCAACTTTGGCCACTGCTGACTGCAAGTGAGACTTCCAAAGATGCCTAAGGAATACAAATGTTAGCAGGACTTGAGTTCCCAAATCCAGGAACAGGAGTTTTTGAGTGCCTTACATGCTGAATGCCTCTAGGGTAGACTAGGCTTTGTGGAGAACAGAAGTAACAAGAGGTAATGAAGGGAGGGAGGCAGCAACATTGCCTCTTGAGGCGGATTAGAGAGCCCCACCGCAGCCTTAGAAGAGGTTGCTGTCCACTTATAAAAGTAAGTAACGCTGGCTCAAGGCAATCACAGTGCTTACTTCTCAAGTGAAATTCAGCACCTAGCCAAGTTTATCTGGTTTTGTTGTACTTAATTAGAACAAAAATCACTGAAAAGTTTATAGAAATTTTCCATAGGGTCGGGACAACAATGTGTAATGCAAAATGGAGACAATCTTGCCCAGGTTTAGGGGTTGCTCTGTAAGCATGTAAAGCATGCCTACATTAGCAAGCAGTACCGCATAGTAGAAGGGACTGGTAAAGTGAAATGGCTGGTGCTGAGGCTGAGCAATCCCACTACTTGTATTTCAGGCTCTTTACTCCAGACTAGCTCAGGGTTGGTTCCATGCACAGGATGCCCCTGAGCAGTGACAGCACTGTAGGTATGACCTGGAGCATAGCTGCCACGTAAGCATCATCTGCAAGGATTATATTTCGCCTGTTCCAAGACTGCTTTGGGATGTGAACCTCAGCGCAGTAAATGAGGATGGTCAGGAGACTTGTTTCGAAAGCTGGCTCCTGATCTGACCTAAATTGTTAATACAGATACATCCTAGGAATGTTAAAGTGGATGTCTTCCTTCTACTACATAGTGCAGTTATAAATAGGTTTCTCCTTCTCTTTAGCACATGTATAATATAGGTTACTTAGGCAGGGACATTCCCTCCTTTTGTCTATGTATAGCACCCAGCCCATTATTGCAAAACAAGTAAGAACGCATGCATGTACTCCCCTTTGTCTGTAGAACTGCTGTCATGCTCATACCAATTTCATGTCTCAGCATCCCTTCCAGCCAGTGCTCTCGTGCAGTGGAGATATTGATAGTAAGAGTGGGACGGCCATTCACCACTGTCATTGAGGCTCGAGAAAGCAGGTCCTCCGTGAGATGGACCACAATCTAAAGATGAGAGAGTTCAGGTATCAAACAGCCCTCTTCTTCTTCTTGTTCATGCCTTATGTCTTCCTTTGGCCCTTCCAAAATTTCATTTATGCTTGGTCCCTCGCCCTTTACAAATCTTCTGAGCTATTGGCAGATTATCCATGTGAGACATTTCTAACTCCACTGAGATGTTCTAGCCACGTGTACTTTGGATAAAACCTCGGAGACCTTAGTGGGACTTAGCATGATGGTTAAGACAGGCAGATAGAAGATGGTAAAATGTGAATATGGTAACACTGGCCAGACTTGGGGGAAGAGGAATTAAATGCAGAAAGTAAACTAGAGAAAATTACCTTTTTTAAAGTGTGTCTAATAACCTTGGTAGTATCGAGAATTTAAAAATATTAGATAAACACATAAATTACCTGCACACTTGACACTCTCTTAACCTTTTTTAATAGCAACTCTAAAGTCACATGAAGGAGAGAGGTAAGCACTGTGCTTTGTTTCCTCATATATAATGCAGACTTGAAATGCTATTTGAATATTGTTATTGTTTTGTTTTATATAGGAATTGAGCTCTCTTTCTCTCGTTTTTCTGGGAAAATTAGTAACCAAAAAAAAGACACAGAAGGAAACTAATGCGTACTGATATGTTTTGGTATTTGAGTTTCAAAAAGGATTTTTAAACAAGTGGCTGGGAAAGGCAAAGGAAACTCTCTCTTTTGAAGATTAAGCACCTTTCCCTCCTCAAGAGATGCCTAAAGAAGGTCTCCAGAGCACTGCTCAGATGAGTACAGGAGAGCATACCTACAAGAGAGACCATTTTCATTATCAAAGTTAACAAGAAAGGACCCTAGGATCAGAGGCATTAACATGACCCTACTGGTGTAGAGTTGTCTGTATTCAAAACCCTCAATTCAGCTCCAAGTTGAACAACAAACAGTCACCATAAAAAATCTTACTAAAATGCAGGAAAGGAAGGAAAATCGTAAAACATTTAGAGTCTAAACTACTAGTTACTTAACCTTATCAACACCTGATGTCTCCTTCTTTTCAACTACAGAGTACTTACAGCATATTTTAGACCATACTGAGCATGATGTATTAACTGTACTTTTGCAAAAGGAGAAGAACGCTTGATTAAGAAAGACATGGGATGTTTTATGAGGATCCTGCTTCTATAAAGACAAAGACAAACATGACTGCAAAGGGAGATAAAAGCACAGCAAAGACTAAAAACGTAAATTTTTTGCTGCTCGCTCTAAACTGCAGCCTTGGAACCCCACTGTTAGAGAAATAGGTAAGCTTTGGCACCAGTGTCAAACTGTAGTCTCTCAAAAGAGAGTGATGAGTGTAATAGTCTCTCCTAACATAATTACGTTCACTAATTAAACCTAATTCCCTATAAACTAATTTTTGTCTACTGAACTTCCACTCCAGACTCCTTTTGTTCATTCCCATGATCTCATACGCGTCTTGGACTACGTCAGCTGGTGTTTTTGTCTGCAATAATTCTGTTTTTCTACATTCAACTTCAGCTGACTCTTCCAAACAATTCTACGTAACTCAGTCAAATTGGATTTTTTTTAATCCTGAAAAACTGAGAAATAAGTTTTCTTTGCACATACCTCTAGAAAATAAGAAGGTTAAAGTGAGGAAAAGACAAAACACAGCACTTAAACCAAATTAACAAGCCAGCATCTTTCAGAAATTTTTATTTCTTTATGTCACCTTCATTTGTGCAACTTCTCATAAGTCAGTCTCTTGGGCTGCTGATTATTTTCCTTGGCCTTCTCTTACCTTTGGTGTAAATAACGTGATACAAGAGAAAGGATGGCAGAACTGAGAAATAAATGGAAATGTGCTATCCCAAATAGCTGAAAAAAGAGAGAAGGAAGGGTGTTGCTCTTGGGTACTCCCAAAAGAGATGCAATTAAGAATGAGCATATAGGAGTCAGGAAACAGGCTCAAAGAGGTGGCTGAAGCGTTCACAAGGAACTTGCATCATTTGGATTGTTTAGAAATTCAATTAGGCACAGCCATTAGAAAAATATGATGTAAGGAATATTCTCAGAACTATGGAGGAAAGGCCTCCCAAACGGTCTCTTAGTTCCCTTCCCTGTGTAACTTTTAACATCTAAACAAATGCTTCTTTCCTGAACCAGCGCATGACTCACCTCACCAAGACAGCCTTCTTTCACCATGTATTTCCTGACATGATTCCAGATGCGACTTTTGGTCAGCAAGCTGCCTCCAGTGGCCTGTTCAAACTTTTCGTAGCTTCCGTATTTCTGCAGCGTCCGTTCCATAATGTTAATGGACTATAAAACATAAAGGTATAGCAAATATGAATGCAGTAAGACCCCTGTGTAAGCCTGGCATTTGTTCACTCTCTTTCTGTCTCTTCCTCCTCTCTTTCTCTCTCCTTTTCTTTTAACGCACTGAGGGTCACCGTTGAACTGTAGTCATTAGATAGAGGGTGACATACTCTGTAAGCAATTTATATCATGTCCAGATATATATTTATGTCAAAGTACTGAAAAAAGATTCTGATTAACTCTTTTTGGACCCACATACATCAGCACGACACAGGGGATTTTCAGCTTAGTGAAATGGCACCCATTTTCTCTATAATTTGGGGAAAATTGCACACCTGGCTTGTAAATCAGACATAATAGGCCACAAGGACGTTTGAAGGTTAAGTTGCTAACATGTTTCTTTTATGGTTTTCCAACAAACTTTATAAATATCATCTATTATCATCATCTCATTTCATTTCTTGGTATCTTATAATTTAGAAATGCTGAACCATGATTGAACAGATGTATAACTACAATTTTAACAAGACTATTTCTACCTAAACATCTCCTTATGATTAAATCCTCTGTACCACGGATGTCTGTGTTTCAGAAAGGAACAGAGCTAATGAAAACTTTATTCGCAGAACTTTCATTTAAGCCAAAATACCTCTTTATAACCCAAACAATGAAGGAAGGAAGTTCCATTGGGCAAATAAAGCAGTACCAACTTCAATTTGCTTATGTATTGCTCGCTTGTGTGTGGAGCATGGAGCACAATGTCTGTCTGATAGAATGAGATCTGAACTCTGTGTGTTGAAGATGTTACTCGAGGGGTGTGAAATAGTCATCCCTAATGAGCTATTTCCCAACCTGTCACTTCACACCCTTAAAAGAAAATACAGTAGAGAATAAGTTCTTATCCAGCAGTAGCCCAGCTAAAGAAACTGCTTTATTCTCAGATAGAACAACAGAAGCTCCTAAGAACCCCACACAGAAAAATATTACTGATATTACCTTACAAAACAAATACTATTGCTAAGAAAATACCACTAACGATGATGGTGGAAATCTTGCAGACTGAATCTCTTTCTACACTGTACAGTCAGTGTATCTATGCACAAAGCTGATAACATGGTTATGCTTTTTGTTTACAGCTATGTAGTTCTGACGTTGTCAGATTGGCTTATTGTCCACAAAAACGGGATTCATTTTGAATCTCTCGCAGTTACTAACAATCCTATTCCATTTCATTTTTTCAAGTTGAAACTAAGCAACCCTGAGTAATTGCCAGTAAAGCCAAAATGGCTAGTCATGATGTAGTCTTAAAGTCCTGTAGCTCTTTGTTGAAAGAAATATAAATTACCTGAATGCCAAATGAATACTACACTTTTAATTTTTGGTATTTCTTTTTCTGCCTGTCATGCTTCATATTAAATTTGAAAGATCTCCTGGTAACATCTGAGAAATTGATTCAAAAGTGAAGGAAGTACCATAATTTACTACCTTAGCACAGGAAAAAGATGGTTAAATTAAAGAAGCCAGTCACTGTTGGAGGTCACATAACCTGGAAGCAAAGAAGCTATCTGCCCTCCGTCAATGCTGTGATCCTTCTCCCCACTGCACCTGAATTTCCACATCAAGTTTTTCTTTACAGAACTCTCGTAAATCATGTGGGCAGAGGGCATAAGCTGGAGAGCAGTAACAGTGAATCCGAAAAAGGGCATAAGCGGAAATCTGCTGCAAAGACTACTCTTGGTTACTCCGGGAGTTCTTCAGGTACAGCGTAGCAACACTATGATACAATACTACCGCAACTCGTCCAAAAAGCCAGAGTATGTGGCCTCAAGAGAATGACTCCAGCACAAACAGGCTCATTATAAAGCCAACCAGCAATCTTATACGAACCCTATCTCCTCGCGCCGTCTCCTGCGGGGGCAAAACACCCTATTCACCATACTAATTCCAGCAATAGTTTCAGGCCTGTCAGGAACTTACCAGCAGTTACGCACTAGACCCACCTGAGCTACTGCAAGATAGTCCTGTTCTCCCCAAGATGCAGGATTGCCAGGAGGAACTGTATGTCACCACTCGGCCTTGTGACATTTGGCTAGTCCCCAGGACCCAGCCCATTTCCGGCAGCCGAGGCCCTGCACCTGCTGAAGTCAGCAGGAGTAACAGTTGGGTATTACAAAGAAAGGCAGCAATGAGGAACAGGTCAACTCTTCTAAGTTTTCTTTACGAGATCAGGCATCTGGATGTCTGAACAGAGGTACGGTAAAGAGAGGAATGCAGTGCTATCGTAAAGCCTGAGACGCTGAAAACCGTTTGGCTTTGCCTCTCCCTGTTACAGCACGGAGATGACCACGTGCAGCAGCACAGCACAACGTCATGTTCCACAGCCCCACAGAGCACAGACACAGCTAACTCCCGCATACATCAACAGGCACTTGAAACACATTTAGTTTGGCTGTTTGCAAAGGAAGCAAACCCTACTGCTACTAAAGAGGCTATGGAACTGCCATAGTGAAAGCTACCAAGGGTTTCTGCAACTTGGAAACAAATGATATTTTTTCAAGAGGAACAGATCAGAAACAGAGGTTGCATCTTCAACTCCTGCAAACTGGGTAGCTCTAGCAACTACAGCTGAAAGGCATCATTTCACCTTCCCACTATTTTAGACATTTAAAAGAAGTTCAGTGCTGTTAATTTTACTATTAATCCCATGGATTTATTGTACAGAAATATGAGTAAGGAGAACAGTTTATCTGTATCGTAGACCTACCCGACACCTACGATGTAAATGGGATTTTGTTTCCAAGTAACTTCCCCAGGTTTTACACTAGGTTCTCTAGGAATGCATGACTGTGATTGGGACTAATACATAAATAAAGGTTAGAGAGGTTTTTGCATGTTAGTAAATAACCAATTTTTCTTGTGAACAGGCATGTCTAAATACTGAACGTTATTTAAAAATGATCTCAGGCAAATGAAGCAAACTTAGTGCCTAATCTACCTATTAAAAGGAGTAATACATGACTCCCTCATGCAGTGCCTAATTTTTCTGGAGTCTAGTAGCAACTGCTGTAGCAATTTGTTTTTAGCAAATTCCAGGATCAAGGGCTAGATGTAAAGAAGAAATCAAAGCGAAATCTAGTTCTTGGTTCTTAATCTGACAGGGAGCGCACATTTTTTCCTAAAGGATATTTTTTTCTCTTTCTTTTTTAACCAAATTACTATATATTAACTTGTTCTAACAAGCTTTGGCTATTTTGTATGTTTTTCAGCGTCTCTGCAAATGCCGAGGTATTTTCCTGCCTTACACAAAATCCCTGGTTAAAGAAGCAAATCAAAAATGCCTGCTCTCTGTCCCAGGAATAGTTTATTCTCAGCAGGCAACCTGAATAATTCAATACAACAATGCTTCGGTTTCCTTTGCAAGGTGCCATATCCTTAAGATATTAATGTCACCTACAAGTTGTTTGGTATATCTGGTTTCACTGAACAATTAATTGCTGTCATTTGCTCACTTTGAAAGAAGAAGCTTCTGAATTAATCTTGTAGCATGCAATTTGTCTTCGCTACTGTTGGCATGGAATTTCAATGAAGTCTATAATAGACCTGAAGCTAAGCACCTACTTACATTCTTTGATGCTTAAATCCCTTTGAATGTTCATCAATAATCTCCATTCTTAAAGAAATCTGATGCCCAACAACACTATATTTTATCTCCCAAACTTCTTTTTTTCTTCTCTATTTCCCTGGTAAATTGTCTCTCTCAGTAATAAATTCTGGAAAGGTCTTCAAGTATATCGAGATGCTGGAAGTGAAGTTTTGAATGCGATTTACTAGGTGGCTCTGTCAGGTGAAATTACCTACTGGTTATTAAGGGACTAATTCTGTCACCATTAATAACTTCTTATGGATCAGAGTACTCAGCAACAAGGAATTGAATTTCACTCTACGTGATCAAATCGGCTCCCCCAGAGGCACATGGGAGCCTGTCTACTAGGAGATGCTTCAAAGCCTAAAGCAACTGTGTCAGCTTTGCAGTAATAATTATGTGTTGTTATAATTAATAGCATTACACAAAAATCGCAGGGAGATGAAGAAGCAAGATGTAATAGGGCTGCTTCAGGCTGAGTTACTGTCAAAGCCTGAGTGAACTGCCCTCATGAGGCCAAATCCAGAGAACTACAGTTCCCCGAGTGGCTGCAATATGCTGTGTCAACCGAACCCGTACTTTCAGAGACAGGTCTTTCTAAGTTTTTAATTGTACTTTGTATAATTGCATAGCATGGCATTGCCCCTCAAAAGTTGTCAATAAGGTGATTTAAAACACACTATTTTCTGTGGGGGGAAAAAAGGTTGGTTTTAAATTCTCTGAAAGTTATTTAGTGAAAGAACTGATGCAGGGAAGGACAGCATTTTCAAATGTGGGCAGGATTTGGTCCTTTCCATTTTAAGGGATCTTAAGCTGTCTTTCAGAAAGTATCCAACACTTGGCTATAGCAATAGTAGTAAATCAGTCAAGGCCAGGGCACTGTCTCAAGTGCTGGAATAGGATCATCCACAGAGCTTAACTATTAGCATGACCCCGGACACGGTTTTGTCTTGGGCTAACTAGCACGCTCTCAGGCAATGCCTGACCATGGCTGAAGGGTAGTACAGGCCACTGTGCTCCCAACAGAAGTGGGGAAAAAGGCCACCACGTTTTGGATGAGGAGAGTTCAGCCATAAGGACATGGGCCATGTCTTGGCACTTGCCCTCAGGACCAGAAAGCAGGTCTTGGCTCTTTTTATTTATTAGTATGGGCGCAGCTTTGCAGTTCCACTGACTTTACTGGCTCTATCTCATTCAAGCAGTAGGGAATATGGAAACTGAAATATTCAAGAGCACCAGCTAAATTCTAGCTGTTTTTGAGCAGTGACCAGTTAAGAAATCATGGAGCAAGTCAACAAACAACTTGGAAATCGTGACTACCGTACTCCACTTAAATTGCCTGAGTTCAGTTCAAATTAAA